GCAAAGTGTGGCATACTTCTGTAATTAAGAAGTATTTCCCTGAATTTGAATGAAATTCCCTGAGATTCCCTGATTTTCCAGGTCCAAAAATGAATTCCCTGATATTCCCTGATTTTCCAGGGTTTTCCAGATAGTCGACACCCTGCTTATGATCAATGAGCTGAAACGTTCCCCAAAGAACTACAAATATGTTCAATTTTACGATTACAAAATATTAAATTTTTGGAAGCACCTGCCGGAAAGTTAGACAACAGGTAAAATGGGGACACCCCTCACCATCCCTCTCCAAAGGGGGAGTTTTGGTAAAGAGAGATGATAAAACCGATTTGTACCTTCCTAAAGTTGTCCTAGCGCGCTTTCTACTCTGTATATGCAATTTTCACACTGCCGTACTCTAAACGGAACTATCAGTTGGGTTGTTTAGGGGTATTGAGGTAAATACATATTCGTTATCTGCATTAAAAATGGAACCGAAATCCAAAATTTCATCAATGTTGGTACACTGGAACTATTTTAAATAAGTACGATTACATTAGCAAACATCACCATCTTAGCGCCCCTTGGTAGGACTTTGTATAGGAGCGAGCTGTCAACGAATAGATTTAGTGTCAACGATCAAAAATTTAAATATTGATTTAAAAATCGAGATGAATGTGTACAGGATCGTTAAACATATCGCTGTGCTCAGAAAACAAAGCTCTATCAGATGATGTATGAAAATTAATATATATTTTTCGAAGTTAAACAACCCAATTCTATACTTTCATCTCCTCATCTAGCGTATAAAAATTACCACTTTAGTCTGTTATTTGAAATTAGCATCTTCAACTATGTAAATCGTTGACTTCACGCAGAAGTAATACTAAACATATAGTCAAAGTAAAATTGAAGGATAATTTAATTTTTTTTTTAGTTCATTATTAAGGAGATTTTTAGCGATAATTTAAAAGAAAAATGCAAGCAAAATCATTCCGAAGGATTTCTGAGCAGAGTTTTGAGTTCCAAGCAAATTTTGAGAAGAATTTCAAATTGGGTTGTTTAACTTCTAAAAATATATTGATTTTTATACATCATTTGATAGAGCTTCGTTTTCTGAGCACAATCCCGTAGATCCAGATTTACATGTTTGATTGTTGACACTAAAGCTATTCCTTGACATACAAAGTCCCACCAAGGGATGATAAGATGGTGATGTTGCTAATGTAATCATACTTATTTAAAATAGTTCCAGTGTACCAAAATTGATGAAATTTTGGATTTCGGTTCCATTTTAAATGCAGATAACGAATATGTATTTACCTCAATACCCCTAAACAACTCAATTGGGTTCTTCAAGGGTATTGAGGTAAATGCATATTCGTAATCTGCATTAAAAATGGAACCCAAACCCAACATTTCATCAATTTGGGTACACTGGAACTATTTTAAATAAGTACGATTACATTTGCAAAAATCACCTTATTAGCGCCCCTCGGTGTCACTTTGTAAGGGAGCGAGCTGTCAGTTTGTCAGTTTAGTGTCAAACAGTGAAGTTATTATTTTGCTTTAAAACTTGATTTAAAAATCAAGATGAAAGTGTGTGGGTTCAAAGAAAATATCACTGTGATCAGAAAACGAAGCTCTTTCAGATGATATATAAAAACCGATATATTTTTCAAAATTAAAGAACCCAATTGACAAAAGACTCTAATTTTCATAAAAGTCACATAGTTATTTTATGAAAAAATTCCAAGGAAGTGCTTAGGAGAGTTTCAGGGAAATTCCAAAGAGAATTTAATGATAATTAGGAGGATATTTCTCAGGGATTTTTGATTGGTAAATTAAAGTAGTAAGTGTGTGCAAGTATTTTTTTTATAAATGGCATGAACAACTGTCTACGGGTTGACATCGAGAGGGTTTCCATCCTTCAACATCTTTCTTCTCTATTTGTCGTGTTGCAAATGTAGAGGAATTCTAGAAAAAAATAAATGCGATGGTAACGCAACGTGTTCCTGATATTATTAATTTTAATTATAATTTAAAAAACGCAAACTGCCGTTCAGGTACATCATAAAAATTTCTTAACTGCGCAGAATATGGTACCTTAACGCATCGGCGACAAACATACATTTTGAAAGTATGATTGTACGTCATTTCCCGGAAATCCGTTTTTTGACAACCATTTCACGGAATACTTTGCTTTGGTATTTATTTTGTTTATTTGGTTCTACATCAACAGACTGGGTTTAGTCCTAATGATGGATTAAGCAATACTAGGAAATGTGATTGTGACTATCCATTTCCCTGACCACCACTGAAAATCATTCCCCAGAATCCATTGACCATTTCGAAAAGTTGTTGATTTTCCTAATTATATAATATATATTTAGGCCACCCTTAGCTCAGTTGGGAAATGCGCAGCTACAAAGCAAGACCATGCTGGAGGTGGCTGAGTTCGATTCCCGATCCGGTCTAGGAATTTTTCGGGTTGGAAAATTTCTCGACTTCCCTGGAGTGATTGTACTTGCCACACAATTACTAATGCAAAAATGGTACAGGCATCGAAAGCTCTCAATTAATAACTGTAGCAGTGCACCTAGAACACTAAGTTGAGAGAACGCAATAAGCTTGGCATGCGAAGAAGAAGAAGAAGAAAGATATTTCCTTCTTTATTAATATTCGAAGAAGGGATTATTTAAACATTCCCATCTATAAATATATAATGAAGAATATTATATTAGGGGAATTTACGTATTCTCGGCAATCTAAGCAGCTTACGGACTTCTGTTAGCATTTCCTCAGTGTCACGCACACATATGACGTGTTTGTTTGTTTACATTTATCTGCTGCTAGATACTCTATCCATTTCAATCGACAGAACTGTCCAAAACGGTTTGAAAACGTTTTTAAGGCGCTCCAAACTTCTCAGGTGAGTGTGACTATTGTTGGCAGCCTCTTTTACTTCGGCAACCTTTCCGTTTAAACTGTGTGTTAACCAGTTGTTCGATTATGGGCAACTCGAAATCAGCCGCATTTTCATGTGCTTATGTTTCATTTGAAGAAACACCTGACTTAACAGGTTTTATCAGTCGTGAAAATGTATTAGGATTGAACCTGAAAGACTAAGGAATCGTTTAAATACATTCAGCGAAGTGTTTTAGTGAGAAAATACAGCGAAATTAACGTTTAAATTGTGGTTGCCGAAAACAGTCGATGGCTGCCGAAGCCATCATTTACCCTATGTATTTAAAGAAGGGAATATTTCCTACTTTATTATATATTAATAGAAGGGAACATTCCCTTATTTTTTGAATATTCAAATGATGGACTATTTTCTTCTTTATTATATATTTAAAGGATATGATATTCTTTCTTCATTAATTATTCTTAAGGAATATTTCCATCATTATTAAATATTTGAAGAAGGGAATAACCCCTTATTTATTACATTTTTTGGAGTAGAGAAAATAAAATCACGAAATGGTACAGACCACATGGTAAGCCCCTTGGTTTTCATATTTTTTTTATATAAACGAAACGAAACGAAAATTCCCACCTTTAGATCACGTGCTTTTTTCCGCATGCCTATATTAATTTTAGGGTAATGTCATAGCATCATTTTAATTTGAACTACATTACCCATAATGTTAAAAGAACGAATCAAAAGAAGGCAGAATCTCATTCGGAGCGTTCCGGGAAGTGACATTCGGGAAACTGTAGCACAACTCATTATTGTAGCCATAAATTGTCAATTCAATCAATAATCAAATTATGATGTCTCATTCTTTTTTATAATATGTTAAAAACGACAATGAATCACTAAAGGTATGAACATGTACAACAACATGTTTACACTACTCTGAAGTTACGTTTTATTATGTGATTTAAAATTTGAAGAAAAAAAAATAGAATATTTACTTTCCGGGAAACAGTACGTTCCAGTAAATGACGTACAATCAATCCAATATCCCTATCGGTACACTTTAGACAACACTGTCGGAGAAACAAGTGATTTTGTTAGTTCAAATTATGACACACTTACCTGCAAATAGGAATCTAAACCAAATTCAACCCGGTTTTGATGCAGTTGCGGAATGAGTACGATTCAATTACACTCTTTTATCCGGGGCTGAACGAGGTTCGACTCAATTTAAATATTTTTTTTTTTTTCAAAACATCAACGATAACCAAAATTTACTTTGCAATGTTCATATTTTCCACTCTTAATACATTTAATTGAATTGAAACCTTAACTACAATAAATAATTTTCGTGTAGGAAATTGAAAAACTACTCAAGGCGACTGGCCTTTCTGCGTTTGCATCCAATCCATTACCCGTACAATGCCAAAGACTTGCGTTGAAGCTATTTCTTTTGATTGAGTGATAATTTAAAGGTAGATTATTTATGTTACTTCAACGATGCATCTTTACACGTACTAGCATTGAACGTCAACGGGGAGGGGTATCTTACGGCGCAAAGTGTCTCGACAAGCATCAGCCACACAAACACGCACACACACACGCACCGAAATTGAAGAGCTTTTCTGCAGCAAACCGAGTCAGAACGAGTGCCAAAGGCAAACCCCGAGAGAGAAAAAAAGTGGAAAGAAAAACTACAATTTGATCCAAATGCCCTCTTGATTTCGGTTTCGCTTATCAAAAACTGCATTTATTTGGCAACAGATTAAATAGTTTAACGCTCTAGTCTTATGCTGCTGTATAGTGCCTAAGGTGGTCATAGATCTGTTATTATATAAACAATGGCGACCGTTTATACAATAATGACCCCTTGGCTTGAGTTTTTCGGACAACAAGTACAACTGCCACGGATCGCGCTTCCATGGAGTGACCGTCGGTAGCAGTAATAGTGGGAGGAAAACGCTATCGCTGAAAGCGACAATCAGGCGGATCATACTGCAGATCCGGAATCTGATCAGCGATAGCATTGCAACAATGCACTGTTTCTGTACGCTAGAACTTAGAGTAGATAGTGGAGGTAGTAAATTGAGTTCACTCTTACTTTGATCAGGTAGTGGTTTGCTAACTAATTTTGCCTGTTGTTGTTGGGGCGGCTGCTGCTGATCCAGTTTCAGCTTCTTCTCCGGGATCAACAGTCGCAGGTCCACATCCTTGGACTCGTTGGCAACCGGCATCAGATTTTCGCTGCTTGACGATGGCGAAACTGAGGAATCATCGGAACTCTTGGAGGTATCTCCAGGTCGACGGGCAGCGGATTTGCTACCTTTACTGATTTTACCTTCACGTAGCTTAGGAGAAGTCTTCTCACTTCGGGAAGGTGACTTTTCCGAAAGGGAAGAAGACTTCTTCTTGAGAGGGGAGCTACTTTTCGGCGAAGACATTTCAGTCAATGATTTCTTTTTGTCCGAATTGGACGACTTTGAGGACGGGCTTCTGCCCGATTTAGATGTTGTTTCATCCTTCTTCTCACGTTTCTTCGTAGGATCGTATTCGCTACGTGACCGATGTGATGGGGATAAAGAATTGCTAGCAGTACTAGTCGTTGTCGCATTGGTTGCTTTTTTACGATCTGCATCTGTGCCTTGAGCTGCCTTCATCCGCGGATCTGTACGCTTGGGTATCCTTCCCAAACGCTCTCTAATGCTCAGCGGTTTACCGGAAGACGGATCAAGAGCAATCGGATGATGTGGAGGAACCTGAACACCTCCGACCATTGTAGGTGTCGAATTGGTGCTGGCCGCTGTCATCTGTGCTACAAGTTGTGCCTGTTGACGCGCTAACCGTGGGTCACGAGATTTGACTAGGTTTATCATTGCTGCATTTGGTGGAACGATACGACCGCGTGGAGGAGGAACGACCGTCGATCCAACTGCGGAAGCTGGACGTTTCATGTCCGTTACGGGCTGTGAGGAAAAATAGTATGTCAATAATCACCAAATCTACATTATGCTATCAGTAAAAACGTCGCACATACCTCTTTTGATACGCTGGCCGTTTGGAGAACCAATTGCTTTTCTTGCTCTTCAATGCGTTTTTTCGTAGCCATGAGCTCAAGTTCGAGCTTTTTATTCTGGAGTTCCAGCAGTTCACGTTGTTTGTCGCGAAGCTGCTGTTGCATATCCTGAGTTGGATCAGGAATTTGCTGCACAAAACATATATTATTATTACCAACGGAAGGTGCATGATTTAAATAATCTAGACAGCTTACCTGATTTTTAAGGAAAATGGGATTAACGTGTATGGCGGGTGATTTCGACGGTTTCAGCTGCGCTGTGATGGGCCATCCAGGATCGATCGAATTAATCTTGATGTCCAGAGCGTACAGCTTGGACTGTGGAAAAACTTCATTCCACGTCTGGCGCAGATTGAACATCTTTTCACGAACTCGTTCGTTCACCTGTGGGTGGCAAGTAAATCGAAAAACAATTCATACGAACCAGGAGGCACCTATGGCATAATCACTGACAGAACTTACCGTTTCAAACACTCCACAGAACATGCTGACAATAACCTGGCTGAACAGCAGCTGGTACTGCTTGCCAACGTTCTTCACGATGGAATCAACGAGATACAGGATGGGTAACTTCACATCCGGTTGAACCTATATTCCGGGAAGCGAGAAGGTATATAAATAAAGCAATTGTTGCACTTTACCGGGTGGCGATTTTTGTAGAGAGTGAGGGGCATCTTCACTCCTTTTCAAGGCTATGTATAGGTATACGGTCTTAATCAAAAATCATATAGAATCTAATGAAGCGATGTGCACGATAAAAAATCAGAGAAATTAATCTCCCAGTTTGTTAGAGTTACCCCGAATAGAGTTAACATTTTTTAAATGTTCGTAGTCTCCGGGATGTATTTTTTCATCAGACATGTGATTATTATGTGATTAGATTTTCCCATTACGGGACCTTCAACATGTTCGGTATATTTATTTTATGGGGCCTCAGATAGCGTAGTCAGTTAAGTTAAGACACGGTATTACCAACCGGAGCTGGTAGATTCGATTCCCGGTCCGGTTTTGAAAATATTTCTAGACCGGATCTAGATCATTCTGCTTACCACGCAATATACAAATTCATGCATATAAAGTTCTCAATTAATAAATGTAGAAATGCTTCAAAGTTCAAATGCTACTAAGTTGAGAGCAGGTGAAAGCTCGTGAGGGAGCGCCAGGAAGAAGAAGAATAAGACATTTATTTTAAGTCACGGAACTTGTCTTATGCAGTTAAACTGCCCATAAAAGCATAACAGTCCCATATGGATTTTTAACAGAAATTAGTTATCTATTAGAATCGATTGTAAACTACCATTTACATTTTTTTTTTTTCAGAAAATATCGTGAAAAATACCAAAACTAGGTTGTTTTATCTATAACTGCATGTGATCAGAGATGTGCAAAATATATCAAAACGGCCAGGCCTACTGTGTAGCTATTTGAGAGGGAAGATGATTCAGAATCATCGGGCCTGCGACACACATACAATCTGTCAATTTCGCATTTAGAGAGCCATAATCAGCTAATTTATATGATCGGTGAATATTCACTCCTCAGGAACAGTTAATATTCATATTGATCATAAAATTATGACTCTCTGAAAGCGAACTTAACGAAACTTGCATGCAAAATATCATCGTACCATCTAATGATTTGATAATTTTCTCATCCTCCACACAGAACACTCCTAGCCCTCGCTCTGACATTCTCTTCACATTCCTTATAATTTCCACAGTATTAGCTAGAAAATCCCCAATGAATTGTGCTGCCAATTCTCGTAGGGTAGGGATCGAGAACACAAGGTTTGGAGAGAAATGTGCTGTTGATCTCGAACTAAGCGACAAATAGTCGAAATCTCGGCTAGCCAAGACATTTCTAATGGTATCGCGGGTTGTTTTCCTCGAGCCCTGAGGGATGTGGATAACTCAGATCTGACAACACGGTGTAGGATACAGGACCAAACAACATGCTCGATATCATGATAACCACTGGCATACGTACATAAATTGCTGCCTGAGAGCCCAATTCGTTAGAAGTGCGAGTCTAACGAACAGTAATTGGACATAAGCCTTGACATAACGCGTATAACGTCACGGTCCATGTCCAACCCTTTGAACCATGGTTTGTTCGGCACCTGTGGGAGAATAGAACGTAACCATCTTCCCAAATCACCATCTTTCCATTTTTGTTGCCTACTGATGGGGACTTGCTGACGAGCAATGGAGAAAAATTAGTTGAAGGCAATTTGTCGCTCAAAAATATCGCCTTCCATAGCGCCCACCTTAGCCAACGAGTCCGCTTTCTCATAACCCGGACCGATGGTGATCTGGTATTCCATGGATTTCTTGCATCATGGTCAGATCAAAATTTACAGAGGAACTATAAAAGGCTTAAAAGCAATCACGATTGGAGATTAATGAAGAAGGACCAACCTCCAGCGTCGTGTACTCATAGTACAAACTCATGAATCTTGTTTGAGGATTTCGGTCGAGCAGCTTCTCAAAGTGTTCTATTACCAAAGGATTCATTACTTCACAACGGATGAGAAACCGGAAAGACAGCTCAACGAAACAACCGCGAGTACTTCGAGGCTCATCGTATGAGTCGAGTCCTCACAATTGATCGTAACTATCCTTAGCATACCATACGTATTACCCTAAAATTCACATGTAATTATGCTTCGAATTCCTTTTCTATGGTCTCAGAAATTTCTTGAAATTTCCTCCTTGGAATCATCCTAAGAATTCTCATGGAAATTTTACACAGAATATCCTATGAATTTTCATTAAAACTTCCTTTGAATTATATTAAAGATTTTCTTTGAATTCTATTTGAAATTACCTTGGAAACTTCAAACAATTGGAATAAAATTACCAGCAACTAGGAGTTCATCATAACTACCTTGAGAGCAATGTATAGATTTGATTAGAACATTTTGCAAGATCATTGTTTGACGTACTTCAATAGGGTGAACGCTCCTATGCTCGCGGTACGGCGTTAGGTTCCTATAGTTTACTTATGGAGATTCCATAAGCAACTATAGGAACGATTCTCGCTAAACATATTTAAAGAATCCACGAGTTACAGGGCTGTTACAAGATTTTCTAAATTTGATACACGAAATCCGTGATTTCTCAAAAGAAATCCGCAACAAATAAAAAATTGTTTTCATTGCTTAAAAATATCATTTGCGTTGTTACTACTACATGACATTTCAAGCTTATTGGTTAAACATTGTTTGTATAGGCCTTGTCACCGGCCTGAGAACATCAGTTGATTTGTTCTACTAGATCGACCGAGACTGCAATAATGTCTATTGTATCGAAATATATCCAATCAGATTCAAATTGAATGTGGATCATGCATCCTATAACCATATATACCAGATGTTCTACGTTCTCCAAATCACCCTGAAGATCAGTTGATTCGTTCTACAAGATCAAACAAGACTGGGACAATATTTTTAGTATCGAAATACATCCTAACAAATTCATAGTGACTATATGGATCATACTCGGCCTATTTCTGAGTATTCCAGATGTTCTAGGTTCTTCAAATCGTCCTGGAGTTCAGATAATTTGATCTACTAGATCAACCGAGACTGAGACAATGCCTGCCTCAAAGTATATCAAAACAAATTCACAGTGTCTATGTGGATAATGCACGAACTATTATCATGTATACCAGAAGCTCTAGCTTTGCCGGCGCCGGTGGTGTGCTGGGATTTTTCTGAAGCATAAAAATCTCTGGTCACGTCTTCCTTCGGAAGGGAAGTAAAGCCTTTGGTCCAGGCCCATGTGTGTTTGAATGGGTGCGACATCCTACGCAGGTGTGTGGAGCTGCCTTCCTGCACATTCGATTGCCGTCAATGGATGGCAATCGATGTCCGTCGGTGGATGGCACTAGATTGCGGAACAGAGACCGACGTTGAATAAAGGAATAATAAATATGCTCTGGGTTCTCCAAATAAACCTCGCGTTCAGATGATTTATTCTACTGGGTCCAACCATCACTAGGGTAATGTCTGTAGTATCGAAATATGTCCAAACATATTAATAGTGTCAATGTGGATAATGTACGATTTATTTCCATGTATACCAGATTTTCTAGGTTCTCCAAATCATTCTGTAGTTCAGATGATAGTATCGAAATATCGATTTGGAAATCCTAGGCATAGGTACATGGAAATAGTTGGGCATGATCCACATAGACACTGCAAATCTTTTTGGACATATTTCGATACTACAGATATTGAATTAGTCTTGGGTGATCTAGTAGAACCAATCATCTGATCTCCAGAATCTATAACATCTTGTATACATAGCAATAGGTCGAGCATGATCCACATAGATACTTTGAATCTGTTTGGACATATTTCGATACTACTGACATTATTCCAGTCTTGAACTGAACTCCAGAACGATTTGGAGAGCCTTGAATATCCGATTTACATGGCAATTAATCGCATATATACGATTCGTTTATGATTTGACAACGAAAAATGCTATGTTCATATTGGAAATACAAACAAATCATGAAAATGTCTCACATTGGACTGATCCCAAGGAATTTCCGTGTAAAACCGGAACCGTTAATCCGACGTGACCAACAAGTGTGACTTATGAAATTCTGATATGTCGATATCGATTATTTGCAGGGTGTTTGGTTTGGATCGGTAAAAATTGAGAAAACTTAAGACAAATGAACAACAAAATTGATGACAACAAAATAATCCGGTACGCAAAAGTTAAAATGGTCTCCGCGATTTGAGCAACTGAAAGTTCAAATCCGCAAAAATCTGCGAAAATAAGGTAGTAGACACCCTGTCAGAAATTCATAGATGATTTCCAAGGGATTTCTGCACGACCGATGAGTCTAACTCAAAGGAGACAGAGAGTCACTTTTACTCAATTCAAGCTGTTGGAGGCGAACCAGCCCAAGGCTGAAAGCCTCCTTAATAAAGCTAAATAATAATAATCAATTCAAGCTGAACATTGCATTAGGTCCTAAGTAAAATTGATCGATTCTCTTCGTCGACTTTCTCTTTCGTTAATAACTTGATCACAGAACCGTTTCTTGATGTGTTTGTCGTATTAGATGCTAGATAAAATCTACTTTTATCGATCTGTGTACTGTAAATACCTGGGAATGTCTTTACATGGCCGTGGAGATGCAGAGAAAGTCGACGAAGAGAATCTGTCAATGTTACTTAGGACCTAATGCAATGTTTAGCTTGTATTGTATGATATATTTCTAAAAACGCAGTTCTCAGTGCTGAGTAGAATGCGTTTTAATAATTTTCTCATACAACTGAGTAAACATTAACCTCTCTGACTTATGCCGTGGATACAGTTGTATGACAAAATATGAGCATGAGTCTGATTTGTATAATAAAACTCATGCTCATCCATGGTTCCACTTGTATAGTTTTTGTATATTGCTCGTCATTATTACAAAAATAATACTCATGCTCATAGCTCGTCATACAAGTGTATCCTTTGCATTAGTCTCATCGGCCGTTCTGATTCTAGTAGTTGAATCTGAGAAGAATTGTATGATAATCATAAAGATAGTAACAGATCGATTTTAAGAATAATTCCGAG